GCCGTCTTGCTATCGTCGGTGCTCTCCGCCAGCATTGGTTCCTCTGGGTAGGTGGCGAAGGGCAGGCTCAGCTCGTCCTCGGGGTAGCTGGCACGGGGCAGGCTTGGCCAGTCCTCCTCAGGGTAGCTGGCACGGGGCAGGCTTGGCCAGTCCTCCTCGGGATAGCTGGCATGGGGCAGGCTTGGCCAGTCCTCCTCGGGATAGCTGGCACGGGGCAGGCTTGGCCAGTCCTCCTCGGGATAGCTGGCGAGAGGTAGGCTCGACCGGCCCGGTGACTCAGCAGGCCGGTCACAGCCTGCGTCTGTTTCCCAAGCAGGAGCTCGGCCATGGACGTCTGCTCTCTCCACCGGCCTGGGCTCCACTGAGCTCTGCAGGCGAGCTTTTATACTTCCGGGTCAGGGCCGTGACCTCGGAGGGGTGAGCGCCAGACTTGGTGGCTCCGCCCACTTTGGGATTAGGGGAGGTTTGGCCCTCAGTGGGGCTTTGGGGCGTCCCACCGCCTTGCTATACAAAGACATGAAACCAGCACCACAGTTATCAGCTCCCTTTGGCACACATGCTCCGCGCAGTTTTCACACCAGACACCTGCTTGGGATAAAAATAAAGCGTACTTACTATTTCATCTTTGATATTTTTATTAAAGGGAAACACAAGTTACACAGAAAATAAACACAAAGATGCAACATCAGGCTTTACGTTTTCATATTTCTAGTAAGAGTCATTTATTGTCTTTCCCAGCATACCCCCTACCTATAGGAGGCATTCAGCATTCACAGACAGCCTGCCACTTTGAGACTGTCCTCCAAGTTCTGGATAAAAATCTTCAGTTCCAACCCTGCTTTTAAAAGACTTATTTTTTTCTCTTTGTACATGGTGACTCGTGGTTAGTCAAAGAGGAAAATTTCCCCCAATTTGGAAGCTGGGATCTTCTTTTCAATTTCAAATTATCTCGGTGTCTTTCCATTAATGTTTCTTCCCTGGGTTGGACAATGGGGATAGTTACTTGAAGCCAGTTTGATGTGAACAACTGGCTTGGTAGGTGCCCCTTCCTGCTTGACTGCTCACCACCTTGTTGTGAGGTGTAGCTGAAGTTGCAGCACAGATTGAGCACAGTTTTCTAAATACACAAATTGTAAAATGACAATCTGTATACATATGTCATAATGGCCAAGTTCAGAGCATTACAAGCTTTCACAAAAGACCTCACTTGATATATTTTATAGTACAATAACATTGTATGCAGTCAGTCGGTTTAACTGCTTTTTTGGGGGGGTTAAACCTTCTTTTATCCCCTTGGGGTGTCTGGCCTTTGATTGTCACAACAAATTTGTAGCTTAGGGTTCCTCCTTTTGGATAGAAGGGCCAATGGAAGTCTATTAGTAATAGGGGAGTTGTCTTTAGTTCTGTGTAGAATAAGTGCACTCTAAGGGCAGGTCTACACTTAAAACACTGCGTTGGCACTGATGCCGTTATAGTGCTTTAATGGAGACACTCTATGCTGACAGGAGAGCTCTCCACGAGAAGCAGTAGATATTTCAGTGAGAGAAGCTCTCCTGCTGACATAATGCTGTCTAGACCAGTGCTTAGGTCAGTATAACTATATCGCTCGGGGTGTGGATTTTTCATACTCCTGAACAACGTGGTTATACTGAAGTAATTCTGTAGTGCAGACCTGTCCTAAGAGTGGCAAAAAACTATTAACCACAATTTATATGGGCAGTACTTCTTTTTCTCCAGACATCTGAATTACAGAAAGGACTGTTAGTGTTTGAAAGTATAGGCAAGCTGTATGGCCCTTGCAGCTAGGCAGCTCAAAACAAATGCTTTCTTCTTTCGAACAGTGAGAGGCTTCCCAGTTCCAACTGGCCCACTCGGCAGGTGCAGTTTGATATGTTGATTTGGCTTCTGAGGCCCATATTAACCTGTTCAGAGCCTGTGTTGGGTACACACAGACCCTTAAATCAAGAAAGCCCAGCCTCTGGCCTAACTCAAAATCTTTTAGATGAAATCTGGAAATGAAAAGCAAAAACAATTTGCTTGACATTTGCAGCTTGGAGGTATCTCAGGAATGAAGCTTGAATTCGTAGTATAATTCTTTTTCTCCCGATATTCTAAATACCTTTTGAAAATCAAGGTTTCACTGAGTGTTGGAAAACATGCTTGGTGTGCATTGCCACTGGGGTGCAGGAGGATGTGACAGTGTTTAATTAACTGGGAGTTGTGATTGAGCATGGACTGGATAAATGGGATCATACTTTATCTGATAGCATGTGCTATTATGCTAGAATTTTGTCTGGGTACTGTACCCTTCCACTGGTAGCTGTATTAATGATGTAGCAAAAGGAACAAACCTAGTATGATGCCACTGCACAGTTCAGTTATCCCTATGCAAATTACATCCCTCATTCACATCTTTCAAGATTATTTTTATATTTCTTAAGTGAGCCAAGAACTTTTTATCAAATTGTGATGGGTATTTTAAATCAGAGTCTGCCTCAATGAAATAATATTGAGCCCATTTCTATGGAAATGAATGCATTATGTTTTAGCTTCTGATGTTCCTGGCAGAGATCCTGAAGATGCAGGGTCCTGCAGGTATAAGCTTTCATCTACTGGAATGAGTATCGTATTTTTATTGTTTGTTTTTTATTTCTGTTTGACTTTTTTTTAATTGTACAAAACACATTAAACAACTATCACATGTGTGTAAAGGTACATTACACACATCTGAATGCAGTGAAAATTAAAATAAACAAAATGTACTAGAATGGCAAGTAACCATATTTCTTTAAATCCATCCTGCTTTTCATTTAGGTGAAATGGTATTTTCTCTCAGGACTTAAATCATGCAGGCTTGCATGCTAGTCTTTAACATTAAGTTTGCCGCCTTCCACATTGGAAATATCAGCCTATAAACTGTGAAACTGGCTCTTAACAAAATATGGTCCTTGTGGCTGTATATTGAATCCCCTGAAAATAACATTCTAGGATTTCTAAAGTAAATTATTTAGACTGTTGCTTTCAATGCATAATCCAGCAGCTGGCTGGTTTATGTGAAGTAAATAATTTGATTTCTTTGTATTGAAGTTTGAACTGAGGCTGTGCTCACCAGTCAAAAGAAAACTCTTTTTAATAATCTAGACGTGAGGTATTTGCATGACATGTCTCTGCATGACTCTCCAAAACAGTTGAGGTTAGGTGGCAGTTTGTCTTTGTTCTCTGTCCCAAAATTCCATATGAATGAGGCAGGGGCCAAAACTTCCTCGTTTCAAGGACTGGTTATGGAAATGCTTTCCTGAGGATCCGTTGAAGTCCCTCTATTAGGCACTGATCCAGCAGGGCACGAAACCATGTGAACTTCTGAATAAAAGCCTGTATACCACCAGATGAGAGTCTTGATCAGGATGTGCAGTTGAAGGGAGACAGACATAGGAATGAATTTATGTGGAAGGCTGGAATTTTGTTAGCTTAACTCTGGGGAGGAGGTGCCTCTGCCCTACCTCCCACAATTCTCTCATGCTAGGCATTTAAGTGGGTCATTAAAGTGGGTTATAGGACTCCTATCATATAACCCATAACTGTGAGTAGACCCTCCCTGGCCTACCTCTAGGATTCAGTTTGTTCATCTGAATAGTTTCATTCTCCTCCCTGAATGGGGAACAAAGCATACCACAGGTCTGCAAAGATGTCAGGACTCCCTTTCTCCCATAGGCATAAGGGCCACTAGTGAAATACCAGGTGTCTCTTTACCTCTGGGCATGGCCTTTATCCACACTGAACACTGACCTCAAGCTATGACAAGCTAAACAATACCACCGGTTACTAATGGTATTTTAAAGTCTTATTCCTCATAACGGAGCTGTGCCTCATAGATGCTACCAGGAAGATGACAAAACACAGTAGATCTCTGGATGGGTGGTGTTATCTTTATTACGCACCCTTTGACATCCTGTCTCATATCAAACAACAAGCACTATAGCTGTCTGAATTAGCTGAACTTGAATTTTAAACTATACTAAAGATCTGCTGGCACAGCATAACGAACTAGAAGAATAATAAAGAATTCAAAACATCATTAGTGAAAATATCTTTTGATGTTTGTTAAATCGACAATACTTCCCTTTTAAAAAAAAATCTCTTTTGAATGCACTATTAGCGTGACAGTCATTGCAATGCATCAGAAAATACTTTATTAGAAAAATTTATGATGGAGTGTGGAGGTTGTGTTCAATAAATGTGGAATGTAGAGTGGGAAGCTACATAAAAATAGCTTGCTTATGCTCGTTAAAATGCATGATTTAAAAACAGTTTAGATGATTATGCTCTAACTTAGATTCCAAACAAACATTATGCACATCTTAAATAATTTGCAAAAACATTGAATTCTTTTGGGCTAAATCCTGTCCCCTGTGATTCTGCCCTACATTAGGGGAAGAATTTGGAGAGATGGGTCTGCACCCGTTGCACACTGTGGATGCTCTTTCTGTCCCTGCTTGAGAGATGGTAGGGGGAGTAGCCAAAAGCGATTGTGGAAGCAATGGAAGTGAAACTGAGAGTTATGCTTCCTGCTGTTACTGAGGATTTTGTAACTACACTTTTAATTTTTATGTCATGATGATATTTTATAAGAAATAACATAATAATTTTAGACCAATGGTAATAAGATGGGTCAGAGGGGCAACAATGATATTCTACCAGCTTTGTTTTGAACCCTATGAAATGAAGGTAATATATGTGGGAGAATTTCAAAAGTCAGACACTGAGATTAAAAAAAAATTGTCCAGTCTGACAATATCTTGTTGGGTGTGGCTCTTTGTTTTTGAAGTATCTGCTCACTCCTAGGGTGTGGCTCTTTGTTTTTGAAGTATCTGCTCACTCCTAGTGGTTTCCATCATATACAAACAAAACATTATTTTGTTGTTAATTTTAAATAACTAAAAGCAATATTAGTCTATTGGCTGCAGAATTTAAGACACTCATTTATTTTTTTTTAATTTTAGGTTACCACATTAGTGAATTGTCCACAAACCCCTTCTAATAAGAAAAAAGGATGTTCCAAAAGAGCCCGTGTCCTCTTAGCTTCTGTGGAAAAAGCCACTTGGAATCTATTGGACAAAGGGGAGAAAATTGCAAAGGAAGCCATTGTATTTAAGGAGGAACTTAATGCAGCACTTAATGATGTTCGTAAAGAAAGTAAGTACAGTACCTACTGTGAATAAACCAGGTGCTTTAAGGAATTCAGTTATACATATAATTTTTGTTAGTGTGTCTATCTCTAAAATGCAAATTGCCTTTCCCATTTACTGAGGTTTGTTCTTTAAAATACAAAGTATATCATTGTGGTGAAATAATGTCCTTGGTTCTTTGGTTTTGTCTCTCTGAGATTAGTTTAGCACTCACCAGGCTGAAGATTATCCAGTAGATGTTATTTGTAGATACTGCACAATTGAAGATGTCAGTTTAAAAAAAAAGGGGGGAAGAGTTTTACAAATTCTGTACTTAAAAACATGTTATACAGTTTAATAGCGATTCTGTAGTCTTAATGTGATGACATTAGTCTTTAATACACTTAGGCCTGGGCTAACTAGCGGGATGTTGGAGGGGGGTGGGTTTCGAACTAAGATACACAACTTCAGCTACGCTATTCGCGTAGCTGAAGTTGAAGTATTTTAGTATGACTTACCTGGCCGTCCTCACGGCGGCGCGTCGACTGCCACGCCTCCCCCGTCGATGCCGCTTACTCCTCCTGCCGAGGTGGAGTACAGGCGTTGATTAGCGGATCGATTTATCTCGGCCAGACGAGACGCGATAAATCGATCCCCGATACATCGAACACTACCGGCGGGTAGTATAGACGTACCCTTAGACTCATAGAATTTAAAATCAGAAGGGACCATTGTGATCCTCTAGTTTGACCTCCTGCACGTTGCAGGCCTCAGCCACTCCTGAAATAGACTCCTAACTTCTGGCTGAGTTACTGAAGTCCTCAAATAATGATTTAAAGTTACAGAGAATTCACCATTTACACTAATTTAAACCTGCAAGTGACCTGTGCCCCATGCTGCAGAGGAAGGCAAAACTACCCCAGGGTCTCTGCCATATTTGGGGTTGGCAATCAGTTAGACCCTGAGCATGTGGGAAAGACCTACCAGGGAGATACCACAGAAAATTCTTTTCCAGGTAACTTGGAGCCCTCCCCGTCTAGTGTCCCGTCTCTGGCCACTGGGGATTTTTGCTACTGGCAGTCGCCGATGGGCCACATGCCATTGTAGGCAATCTCATCCATAATTTAGCAAGCTGAGTCTTTAAGCCAGTTAGACTCTTTTTTTCCCCCTCCCCCTACCCCTGCCACTGCTCCGCTTAGAAAGCTGTTCCAGAATTTCACTTCTCTGATGGTTAGAAACCTTCACCTAGTTTCAAGCCTAAATTACATTTTATTTTCTCAAATACAGTAATGTTGTCCTTTTTTCCCTTTTTCTTTTTGACCTCAGTCAATTTGGGACCCTTGGGGGTATTCCAGATGTGAGCAGAAATTGGTGATAGCCAGGTATTTCTTTGATGCAGTTTTGTTTATTTACAAAGAATGTACAAAGTCCTGTGTGTCTGAATGAAAAGGAATCAAATAGCAGGAAACAGATTCTTTTGCTTGCAGTATCAAGGGCATATTTTTCAGCCTACACCGCTGACTCAAAAACCTCTCCACAGGTTTCTTCCAGGGTTAACACCACGGTTCAGCTGTCTGTCTGTTTCTGGCCTATTCTACACCTAGAATATTAGGTCGGTATTCACGCCCCTGAGCAATGTTAAATCAACATAACCTGGATGTAGACAGTGCTAGGTTGATGGGAGAATTCTCTGTTGGTGTAAGTAGTGTCTTCATTGAAGGGCTACAGAGGCACAGTTGCGCTGCGGTAGTGGTTTTATGTGTAGACATACCCTCAGGCCTGGTCTATACTACAGGGTTAGGTCAAATTTAGCCATGTTAGGTCGATTTAAAAATGACTGTGTCCACACAACCAATCCTGTTCCGTCGACCTAATGGACTCTTAAAATCAACTTCTGTACTCCTCCCCGGTGAGGGGAGTAGCACTAAAATCAACCTTGCTGGGTCGAATTTGGGGTAGTGAGGACACAAATTGACAGTATTGGCCTCCGGGAGCTATCCCAGAGTGCTCCATTGTGACCGCTCTGGACAGCACTTTGAACTCCGATGCATTAGCCAGGTACATAGGAAAAGCCCTGGGAACTTTTGAATTTCATTTCCTGCTTGGTCAGCATGGCGGCAGCACTGGTGACCATGCAGTCCCCCCAGAATCGCAAACGAACTCCAGCATGGACCAAAAGGGAGACACTGGGTCTGATTACTGTATGGGGAGAAGCATATGTGCAGGCCAAACTCCGATCAAAAAGAAGAAATGCAAATATATTTGCCAAAATCTCACAGGGCATGTTGGACAGAGGCTACACCAGGGACACACAGCAGTGCTGTGTGACAGTTAAGGAGCTCAGGCAAGCCTACCAAAAGACAAAGGAGGCAAAAGGTCACTCCGGTTCAGAGACCTATACATGCCGCTTCTATGACCAGCTGCCAGATAGGGACCTACCACTATCCCACCACTGTCTGTGGACACCTGCAAGGGGGGAGTCTCATGCAAGAGGGAGGAGGATTTTGCGGATGAGGAAGAGGAGGAGAAGGAGAATGCGCAGCAAGCAAGTGGTGAATCCGTTCTCCCCGGCAGCCAGGAAATTTTCTTCACCGTGGAGCCAATACCCTTCCAAGGCGGGATCCTCAATCCTGAAGCCAGAGAAGGCACCTCTGGTGAGTGCACATTTGTAACTACAGTACAGGGTTTAAAAGCAATAGTGTTTAATATTTGATTTGCCCTGAAGAACTGGGATGCATTCGCAGCCAGTACAGCTACTGGAAAGGTCTGTTCACATGTCTGGGGATGGAGTGGGAATCCTCCAGGGACATCTCCATGAAGCTCTCCTGGAGGTACTCTGAAAGCCTTTGCAGAAGGTTTCTGGGGAGGGCTGCCTTATTTCGTCCTCAACGGTAGGACATTTTATCACGCCAAGCCAGTAGCAAGTATTCTGGAATCATTGCAGCACAAAGCATGGCAGCAAATGGTCCTGGGTTTTGGTCGCATTCAAGCAACATTCGGTCTATATCTTTCTGTGTTAGTCTCAGTAGAGTGATATCGTTCATGATCACCTGGTTGAAATAAGGGAAGTTTTGTAAGGGAACAGTAAAAGGACCCTGTTCATGCTGGGCTGTTTGTGCTTGGCTAAAAGGGATCATCCCAGAGGATAGCCACTTGGCGGGCGGAGGGGTGAAGGGATCATCCCAGAGAATAACCACGGGGTGGGGGTAGGTGTGTGCTGCACATCCACCCGAAAACTGCAGCCCCTCCTTTTAAATGTGAAACCCAACCCATGGCTTGCTCTGGGAAAGGAGGGCACTCCTCATTCTCACATGTTATGAAGGCGTTGGAAGCCAAACCCTTGTACCCTTTGGCTTACCATGGCTGCCTGGAAACCAAATTCTGTTGCCCAGCCATGTGTCATATATCACCATACCAGCAGGGGCTCAATATAAAAGGCAAAATGTGATCTTCTACCTAAAGCACATGTGCTGTCTGCTGTGAATTGCTTGATTCACTGTGAAAGAGTCTCCCTTTTGTTCTCAGAAATGTATCATCTTAAATTTTACTCTCCCTTTTTATCTCCCCCCAGGTGCAAATGTTTCCCCATACATTCCCCATATCATCTCCATCCCTGAGGTTATCGCAGATTAGAAGGCGAAAAAAACGCACCCGCGATGACATGTTTTCCGAACTCATGCATTCACACCCCCCCCCGCACTGATAGGGCACAGCTTAATGCATGGAGGCATTCAGTGGCAGAGGCCAGGAAAGAATTAAGTGAGTGCGAAGAGCGGAAGCAGGACACGATGCTGAGGCTAATCGGGGAGCAAATGGACATGATGAACCATCTGTTGGAGCTGCAGGAAAGCCAACAAGAGCACAGACCCCCGCTGAATCCACTGTATAACTGCATGCCCTCCTCCCCAAGTTCCATATCCGCTTCACCCAGATGCCGAAGAACGCGAGTGGGGAGGCTCTGGGCACCCAGCCACTCCACTCCGAGGATGGCCCAAGTAACAGAAGGCTGTCATTCAAACAGTTTGATTTTTAGTGTGGCTACATAAAAAATGTGGCCTTGTCCTTCCCTTCTCCCCCGCCCCACCCGGGCTACCTTGTCCATTATCTCATTTTTTTTAATTAATAAAGAAAGAATGCATGGTTTCAAAACAATAGTTACTTTATTTTGAAGGGGGGAGGGTGGTTGGCTTACAGGGAATTAAAATCAACAAAGGGGGCGGGTTTGCATCAAGGAGAAACACACACAACAGTCACACCGAAGCCTGGCCAATCATGAAACTAGCTTTCAAAGCCTCTCTGATGCGCAGCCCACCTTGCTGTGCTCTTCTAATTGCCCTGGTGTCTGGCTGTTCAAAATCGGACGCCAGGCGATTTTCCTCAACCTCCCACCCCGCCATAAACGTCTCCCCCTTACTCTCACAAATATTATGGAGCACATAGCAAGCAGCAATAACAATGGGAATATTGGTTTCGCTAGGTCTAACCGAGTCAGTAAACTGTGCCAGCGAGCATTTAAACATCCAAAGGCACATTCTACCACCATTCTGCACTTGCTCAGCCTATAGTTGAACTGCTCCTTACTACTGTCCAGGCTGCCTGTGTAAGGATTCATGAGCCATGGGAGCAAGGGGTAGGCGGGTCCCCAAGGATAACTATAGGCATTTCAACATCCCCAACAGTAATTTTCTGGTCTGGGAAGTAAGTCCATTCTTGCAGCTGCTTGAACAGTCCGGAGTTCCTAAATATGTGAGCGTCATGCACCTTTCCTGGCCATCCCACGTTGATGTCGGTGAAACGTCCCTTGTAATCCACCAGTTCTTTTAGCACCATTGAGAAGAACCCATTGCAGTTTATGTACTGGTCCAGTGCCAAGATGGGGATATGCGTTCCGTCTATTGCCCCACCACATTTAGGGACCCTCATTGCTGCAAAGCCATCCACTATGACCTGCACATTTCCCAGAGTCACTACCCTTGATAACAGAATGTCAATGATTGCATTGGCTACTTGGATCACAGCAATCCCCAC